TGGTCACTGGTGTCTGCTCTGGAGACAGGCCGGGCTCAGCTGTGGAAGGGCACGGGCAGGGCGGCCCAGGCACAGCTGGCAGGCCAGGGCAGTGGTTGTAACCCGGGTATACACACAGCTCTGCCACTTGCTAGCTGTGTGGCCTGGACAAATTCCTCCTGGGACTCAGTTTCCTCATGTATAAAACAGAGATAGTATCAGTAATACTGCCTGAATAAAACAGTCTGGGGTAGAGAACATGGGTGGTATCCAATAAAAAGTTTAATACCCTCAAAACCAAAGCTGCCTTCAAAATACCTTCAAAACCACTTGTCTCTGTCTGGGGCTCCTCTCTGCTTCCTGTGCCGCTTGCATACCACTCACCACTCAAGAACTCAGAGACATGAGACAAAGCCATTCTGTCAGCCCTGCTGGCTCACCAGCATGTGGAAAGAGAAGCCGAGAAGCCGGGAGCCAAGGGGCAATTCCCTGAGCAGATTCCAAAGGCCAGGCCCACCCCAGGGGCCCAAACATCACAGCAGTGGGACATTTGCACTGACACTCCCCTGTTAGTGATCAAGCATGCCTGATTCATGGCCGCCACTGGGGCTGCCTTTCTACAACTTAGCTTTCAGAACACCCTGCAGAGCTCTGTGCTGAGCCAAGAGCTTTGAGGGCTGGAGACGGAGCCAGCAGTAGAAAGAAAAATGACAGGGACAGCATCTGAGGGCCTCATTCAAACTCACTGCTGAAGGCAAGGGTCCCGACATTTGCTGCCTGGCCACTCTGCCAGGCAGAGCAGACGCTCCTGGGCCCTCTCCCCCTGCCTTGTCTGTAAACCTCTCCAGAGATGCCACTGAGCCAGGCTACCTCAGTCTGAACCCAGGCTCCCTCAGTTACTAGCTGTGTGGCCTTCAGCAACATTCTCCAGCTCATGGTGCCTCCACTTCTTCATGGTAAGCCGAAGGTGATAATGCAGGTAAACGTGTGCAGCTCAGAGAGTCAATGTAAGGATGAAATGAACTAAAATGTGTAAAGTGCTTAGAATAAAACCCATCCCCCACAAACTAAGCGTGACATAAGTGTTAATTGTTGTGGTGGTGGCTTTTATTATTGTTCAAACCCTGGGTAGCCTGTGACAGGTTGCCCGTTTGCCTGCGTTAGGTGTCTCAGTTCCATGCTTCTTGCTCAGAGCCCCTGGGGCCCTGCAGCCTGTGTGAACTCCAAGATGCTGGCCCGTCCCACTCTATGGGGTAGTGAGCAATCTCACCACAGAAGGTTAGACAATGCTTAACTTTTGCAACAGGAAATTACACCTCCAGGAGTTCTTGCCTCCAACAAATACATGCTTCAGAGTTAAATGGAGTGAGCTCTTTCTAAGCCATGCTGTTACAATCATAAGAATTCAAAAATTGAGAAGGTGATTCCATTACATTCCTTCTAACATATTCAAAGAAAAGCCTCTGTTAAGTCCACTTCTAGCTGATAGGGGAAGCCTAGAACCTGCCCCAGCTCACCCCATTACTCCCAGGAGAGGGTAGCAGTTGTTCATGTCTGCTGCATGCTGGCGAACTTTATCACCCCCATTACATAAAGGGGAACCCTGAGGTTCAGAGAAGAGGTTATTGCCCAGGGCCTCTTGCTGAGGGTGAAGGCCAGAGTCTAACTCAGGTCTGAACAAAGTTCTCCCCTCCCTTAGCAGCCCCCGAGAGCTGCCCTGCCTGTTTGCTCCCAAACATGTCTCTGACTCTGGTCCCCTACACCTCCATCAGGTCTGAGTTTGGGGACCTGCCATGGTGTCCACATCAATGTTAGCTCTGAATTTTGCCCATCCTAAGAACCGCTTCGGTCACCTTCCCTGTCCAGGGACCCCCATAGGGCCAAACTACTCCCAGCCCCCAGGGACCCATGGTGGGCTTCAGCCAGATCACCAGCTACAGGCATCACATGGTCCCTTCCCAACTACCCCTGTGAGACTCCACTGCAGCTTGTCCTACAACCCACCTGGTAGGCAGGGCTTGTCCCAGGCTGACTGTGGATGGGCCTATCAAGCCCAGGAAAGCTGAGCTTCCCTTTTCTGCGGTCACACCCCTGCCAGAGATAGAGAACACAAATCCCATCTGGAGAATAGGCTAGGACCACGGGAGACAAGCAACCTTGTCATCGAATGGGAGACAGGGTTGCTTGTCTAGGCCTCTCTTGTCTCCTAGATCCAGTATCCCAGATTTAACCAACCTGAAAAATCATGGCCAGAGTGGGGAAAGAGGTTGGAAAGTGTTCAAGTTTCAGTCCTACAAAACTTCTCCAACCATCTGAAGAACCCATGAGCTTAAAATACCCAAAACACAATTGCCCTTCCCCACCTAACCTCCCCAAGCAGCACACCAGAGAATATGCTCCTGATCCCAAGATGCATGGGGAGCCACTGGCTGCAATCCTATTAGCATCTTAGCTTTGTACCTGAAACCCAGGCCACAGATAATACCCCTGTGTGAATCAATGGCTAAAAGGAAGCCTACTTTAGAGGCATAACTGTTGGCTCTGATAGCTCCCATTAGGTGTCAATGTCTAGCCTTTAATACCAGCTACCATCATATTGGTGCCATCACAAAAAAGCTCAAAGCAGGTGTGAAAGGAACCTGATACTGTCCCATTTTAGAGATGAGTAAGGCTTGGTGCCTGTAGCTCAAGCAGCTATGGCACCAGCCAGATATACCAGAGCTGGTGGGTTCAAATCCAGCCCAGGCCTGCCAAACAACAATGGTAACTACAACCAAAAAATAGCCCGGGAATTGTGGCGGGCACCTGTAGTCCCAGCTACTTGGGAGGCTGAGCCAAGAGAAGCACTTAAGCCCAAGAATTTGAGGTTGCTGTGAGCTGAGATGCCACAGCACTCTACCCAGGGCAACAGCTTGAGACTCTGTCTCAAAAAATATATATATAATAATAATTGATTTTACCAATAAATAAATAAGGATGAGTAAAATGAGTCTTAAAGACTTATAGTGACCCACCAAAGATACAAAACCACCGAGCATAGGAGACGCAGTTGGAAATATGGCACATCAGACTCCAGAGCCTCGGTGTACCAAGGCCACCCTCCAAGTCTATTAATTCATTCCAGCAGCCAAATTTTCCAATTCCATTAAATAAAGAGGTTTGTTGTTGCTATTGGTCTTCTGACCCCTGGGGTTTGCTTGGTCACCATGTCTAAAAGGATTCCAGACACTTTCCATAAGGCATCATGATGATTAAATCAGCCCTTCTCAGGATATACTCATCTGCTCCTAGATTTAGCCAGTTAAATAGAAAAAATAGAACAAAACTTTGCCATTCAATAGCAATTTTAGTCCAACAAGCATGAAAATAAACTCTGAGCAAAAATGTCACCAATTATACCACAGAACTGAGTGTACCAGCCACTTTTCTGTTAGTTAGCCTGTCACCCTTGAAAACTGTCAACACACCACAACGCTCAAGTAAATGTGAATTTCACTTGAGTAAAGTCTCATCCTTGGCTTAGTTTCTGGAGTGTTATTCTTAGTCCCTTAACTAAAGGGGAGAGCACAGGAAAAAAGTGGGCTTCAGAGGCCAACAGACCTGGGGCCAGAGGGCAGTCCTGGCTCCCTGTAGCCCTGCTCTTCAGTTTTCTTATCCCTGAAACAAGGGCCTAGCTCAGCCTGCCTCACTGGCTGGCAATTACATCTCTCATTTAAAATGAATAAACTGAGCCAGACGCCTACAATCCTAATACTTGGGAAGCTGAGGCTGAAGGATCTGTTAGGACCAGGGGTTTAAGAACAACTTAGGCAACACCGTGAGAAACCCATCTGTACAAAAAATGTTTTAAAAATTAGCTGAGTGTGGTGGTACACCTTTAGTTCCAACTATTCAGGAGGCTGAGGCAGGAGAATCACTTTAGAATCATAGTACTCTAGCCGAGGCAACAGAGCGAAACCCAGAAAGTACAAAATGAATAAACCAAATCCCCCTTCTAAGCACCAGCTTTAATAAGGAACAGCAGGACGTGTGTTTGGATAGTGTTGATTACCAATGTGTGGGAGTATGTAAGCCCACAAGTGCCTAACTCCTGGCCCTGGTCATCTGGATTCAACTCAGGACAGGTGACGATGTGTGCCTCTATTCCAGAGGCCACCCTGCCTCTCTTAAGTGACTCCTTTCTAAAACCAGTAACCTTTTTTGTTGTTATGATTTTTAATCGGCCTCAAATCACAGCTGTGCATATTAAATGAGAGGAGGCCATAGAGTGGTCAGGGGTCAAACCCAGTATCCTGTGGGCTTGACTTCAACCTGTCTTTCTTTGCCTGAATAGTTTTCAGTAACTGTCAACTTTAAATATTTGGATAGTTTACACAATCTAAATTACTGGGTTCTCTTTGAAAAACCAGAAGATTCCATAACCTGGGGTCCTCATTCCCATTAGGTAATTGTCAGCTGGAGATGGCAGATAGCCGCTCCCTTTAACAGAGCTCCCTAGCAAGTGCTGGAATTTGTGAGTTAGCCCCTGCATACAGTGTGTGGTCAATAAAAGACAGTCGTTATCATTACTTATCACTTATCAGTAACTTGATAAGTAATGCATGGCATTCGAGTCCAGGGACTGTGACTTATCACTGTCACACTGTGAGTAGCCTGGGTGGTTTTTCACGGCCCTTATGCAGACTGAGAAATTTGTAATGGGCATCAACACTCACAAAATCCCTATTAGATGCCAGTCTCTGTTCTAAGTGCTTCACTTATGTCATCTTAATTGATCCTCACAATAACGTCAAGCTACATTGCTATCACTATGCCGCTTTTGCAGATGGGAAAACTGAGGCACAGTTCCAAATCACCAAGCCAACAAAGGAGACTCAAGATTCAAACCCATGCCCTAACCAGGTCGCTACACTGCAGGATCACCCCGGCTGCCACGGAGGGCGCAGTCTCCCCAGCTTCCTGTCCCTCTCCCAACTATGCCAGGGATAGAACCCCAGAAGCCCCTGGCTGAGCACACTTACGGTCAAGGCCATTGATGTAGCGCATGGTGACTTCGCAGTGGCCCCACACGGCACTCACCACCGGGTACAGCTTCTTGCCCTTGAGGCCTCGGAAGGCCACCCCCAGGTACTGGCCGTCCACGATGAAGCTGAGCGTGCCCTCATCCATGTCCAGCACCACCAGCAGCGAGTCGGGCAGCGCGAAGGCCTCCTCGGGTCCCAGGAAGGCTGGGTAGGCCACGCCAGGACGGTTCTTGCCGTCATGGTAGAGGCGGCTGCGGCCCAGGTCCCAGCCCCACGACTCGGCGTCGCTGCCCACCAGTGCCGTGTAGCCCACGGAGTGCAGGGGAGCCCGCGCCGTGGCCACACCGACCACCGCGTGGGTGCCGCGCTGCCGGGCGGGCCAGTTGATCTGCCAGGCGTGCAGCCCGCGGGCGTGGCCCACCTTGCCGCGGATGCCATCCGTGCTCTGGGCTACCGGGTGCCGGTGGAAGGTGAGACGGTCGTCATCCTTGACGAAGACGTTGAGCGAGCGGTCCTCGGGGTTCCACGCGTGCCGCAGCTGCACAGCCAGCCCCGCCGCCGGCATGTCCAGCAGCTGGTCCAGCCGCGCCGGCCGCCCGGGCTCTGTGCCCCGCAGCTCCCGCTTGGCCGGCCGCAGCGCTGGCTCCCGCACCTCCACCGACTTGAGGCTCCCTGAGAGCTTCTGGCCCATGGTTTGCCTCCAGTAGAGGGCCACTGCAGGCCACGGCTACGTCGTGGGGGCCTGCAATCCCTGCAGCCAGGGATGGGCCACGGGACTGGGAACACGGCTCCCGGACCGTAGACCTCCACAGCCTCTGCCGGGCTGGGGCGGGGGCCCAAGCTCCTAGAAGGAAGCAAAGGGCATGGGTCATCACAGCAGCGTCAGCGGCATCAGCGGCCAGTTCCCCATCCCTCCAGGTATGCCCGTGCCTTGGCTCATCCCTCTGCATGCTTAATAGTAATAATTTGTATACCCATATCTGGCACTAATCTAACACCTGCCATATGCCACTTTAAATGATTTACATCTATTAGCCCATTTCCTTATAAGACATATACATTATGTGGCATTATTCACATTTTACAGATGAGAAAACTAAAGTGCAGAGAGAGGATAATTAGCCAAAGTCCCACAGCTAATAAGTGACTGCCTAGATACAAACCAAGGTCACCTGGCTTCAGAGTCTGTGTTCTGCACTTAGAACAATCACAGGTGATCTTATTTTTAGAAATAAGGAGTGAGCCCAGAGCAGTTATGACTTGCCTGAGATCACAGAGAGACCAGGTGGATTTGATCCCAGAAGACAATGCCTGTGCCAAGGCTGAGGGACACAGGTGCCCAAGACATGGGACTGCAAATGTGTAGGATCTGGCCCATTGGTTACCAACTTTGAAGGTCCTGGGGAGCTTAAATAGCACCATAAAATGCAGCCAGACTTGAGAAGCAAGACAGAGCAAGCATCCAGCAAGGTCAGCCAGGCACGTGGCCATAAGGCAATCCTCGGAGCTCTGGGTGGGGTCTCCATGAGAAGGCAGAAGTGAGGGAAAAGGCAAAGGGAGCTGGCGCCTGGACTCTGGAGCCAGCAGAGCTGCATATAGAAGTAAATCCCCTTGTTAATCTCTTAGCTATGTATCGACAGGAAGGCCTCCTAGCCTCTCTCTAAATCTTGTTTCCTCATCTGTAAAATGGGAATAAAACATCTTCCTCCAGCGGTGTGGGAATTTGAGAGACAGTGATACAAAGGGCCAGGCCCAGACCCTGCAGGGAGGTTTTCCTCCCTGACTCTGCTCTCTGGACGTCTCACATGGATCCCTTCCCTTTGGATGGGCAAGCTCTTTCTTTGGTCATATAAACACCATTAACAGCACTGATCCCAGATGGCCCTCCCTGACACAGGACCCTAGCTTTCATGGAGGAGGAACTGGCCACCATCACTAGGAGACCAGCCAGAACCTAGGGAGCCAGAACCCTTGGCTGCTTGGCTGGGCCCTGGGTGTGGGGATAAAGGGAGAGCCAAGCCCTGCACCCTGTTCAGAGCAAAGCATGTGCCTTCCCCTGCCCGGCCTGAGAGTCGCGAGGCCCTGAAAAACTTCCCCTAAGATAGACAAGGAGACAGAAGGGGGTTTTCATACCCTGCCTGGCCTCACCCCCACCCCCACCCCCTACACCCAAACAGTGGCATACTCCCAGCCAAAGTCTAGGTGGGGAAGAGAAAGATCCCTGCCATAACAGCACAGACAGGTATACTTTGTTTCTTTTTTAACTCTCTCATTTTATTCTCAACTCTCATTTTCTTTCCTTTCTATTGTCAGATCCCAGCTGCAGCAGATGCCAACCCTATTCAGAGAGCTCTGGTTAATGTTTGATCTGAGGAAATACTAGAACACATAAAAATTTGCAACACTAGACAGTTTTAAGATAGCAGAATAAAGTTACTCCTTTTCATATCCGAAATCACCCCAAATCAAAGAGAAAGAAACAGAAATGCAAACTCCCTCTTCAGCAAAACTAGAGCACATTTGTAACTTGAACCACAACTTCTAAGGGAAGGCTGCCAAAAACAGGACCCGGCTGCCAAAAGCAGTAAAGATTAAAAATGCTGTGAGAAAACACCTATAGAAGATACCTGTGGCTGCGGATCTTGGATAAGGCTGGCACTCCCTGAAGGAAAATAAACAATGATTCCTTATCAGGAACAATGGGAACAAGTCATGTGGTCTGGCAGTGGGAGCTGCCTCCAACCCTTTAGAGAAAAAGGTGAGCAGGGCTATAGATCCGCCATCTATACAGGAAGCATTGTGTTGGTGAGGCAAAGTGGAAGGAGGGCTCTGAACTGGGAGAAGCCTACAGCTACAGATCTCTGCTGACTGAGTAGAAGCAAAGAGTGAAAGAAATCACTTAAAGGGTGGTGCCCAAAGCTCAGTGGGTAGGGCACCGGCCACATACACCAAGGGTGGTGGGTTTGAGCCTGGCTTGGGCCTGCTAAACAACTATGACAACTGCAACAGATAAATCTTAACTTTTAACTCTTAAGCCCAAGAGCTTGAGATTGCTGTGAGCTGTGAGGCCACAGCACTGTACTGAGGGCAACATAGTAAGACTCTGTCTCAAAAGAAAAGAAAAGAAAAGAAAAGAAAAGAAATCATTTCCAGAATCCTGCAAACAAAGTTTCTGTGAACCAGGGAGCAATCCTGCACTCCTAAAGTACTTCCTGGCACCTTCTCTATGTGCCTCACCTGCAAAATGCTGATCTCAAAGAGGAACCAATACAGGATATAGTCAAAGATGGTACAGAAGCAATAAAGGGGTACACAAATAGCACAAAACATGGCAAATCAAGAAAATGCACCAGAAAAAAACTGCCAGAAAGCAGATAAAAATTGTGACCAAATTTATACATAAATTTTGTGATCATTTCTTTCAGAAGAAAGAAGACAACTAGTATGATCTCAACAAAAGATTAAATCCATTTTACACAGTTATAAAGGTAACCTCCCGAAGTAAAAATAAAATATTAACATGACACAAAATAAGAGAGACCACTGATTGAAAGATTTTGTTTTAAGAAGCAAAAAGAAAGATTTAAAATATAGTAAAACTAAGACTAAAATATTAACCATGTCAATGAATAAGCCATAGTTAACTATTAAAAGGAAAAGATTCTAAGATTGCAGACAAAACCCTCCACCATATGCTACGTATAAGATGCCACCAAAACAAAGTGATTCAAGAATTTTGAAAGCAAAAGAAGGACAAATGTATACCAGGTAAGTGTAAACTCGAACTAAGCAGGTATTGTAATCTTAATATTAGGTCAGTAAAGTTGATTTCAGAGCAAAAGGTATTAAATAAGACAAGGAAGAATACTTTATATGTAACAAAGAATGTGATTCACAGTTGAAGATCTAACACTCCAAATAACAGCACCAAAATTCAGAGCAAAAGCTAGAGGAAACAAAAGGAGGGATCTTAGATATATATCAGAAGCAGTTAATTTGAATTCCCCTCTTCCAAGGCAGACCAATGGGCTAAATTAAGTAAAAACACAGAATAACCAAACTTACATAATAAGAGAGATCGAATTGATGTATATATCAAACAAACTCTACACCTTGAAAACAAGGCATGCATGTTCAAGTGTTCATGGAACCATCAAAAAATTTCCCACATATTAGGCTGCAAATAAAAATTCACCAGATAAGCAAAAGTAATACATTAAGAAAGCTAGGAATTTTGTAGAAACACTAAAGAAAAGCTAGAAATTAATCACAAAATTATGGACTACAAATCCTCTTGGACATTTTTTTAAAGCTCTCTTTAAACAACTCAGATCCGAAAAAGAAATCCATAAAGAAATTACAGAATGTCTAAAAAATAACAATAAAAGAAAACACTCCATATACATATTAGAACTGCAGGATGTCTCTAAAGCAGTGCTCAGAGGGAATCATGACTAGTGTACTTATACTACTAAATGGTTTTTTATTTATTTTATTTTTTGCAGTTTTGGGCCAGTTTTGGGTTTGAACCCACCACCTCTGGCATTAAGTAAAACCGGCATATGGGGCCGGTGCCCTACTCCTTTGAGCCACAGGTGCCGCCCTACTAAAAATGGTTTTAAATGAATTGAGAGTAATAAAATAGAAAAATAATAGAACTAATCAAAAACTCAAGAGCTGGTTCTTTGGGGGAAAATATCACAAAAACAAGACAAAGCAAATAAAACATATAAACCATTTAATCCCATCATTTAATCTATCACATATTATGTAATCATATTATTATATTACCATTATATTAATATCGTGTATTCTTGATAAGATATAAAGAAATAAATAGTGCTTTGCCTTTGTAGTCTTCCTTCCCCAAACCTGTGACCCCACTATAATCCTGAGAGAAACAAAGGGCTAATTCCATTTGGGGGCATCCAACAAAATACTTGACCAGTACTCCTCAAAACTGGCCAGGAAATCAAAAACAAAAATCTGAGAAACTGTCCTAGTCAAGAGGAGGCTTAATAGACATCACTACTAATGTGGTATCCTGGATGGGATCCTGGAACTGAAAAGGATGTTAGGCTTTAACTGAGAAAATCGGAATCAAGGATGGCCTTCAGTTAAATAATAATGTGCCAGTATTGGCTCATGAGTTATGAAGAACATACCATACTCATGTACGATGTTAATGATAGGATAAACTGGGTGTGGGCTTATGGGGTGAGTATATGGGGACCCCTGTGTTTAGTTTTTTCAGTAAATATAAAAGTATTCTTTTTAAAAGGCCTATTAATTAGAAAACCTCCAATCAATATCTAAATTTTAGGAAATACAGATAGTACAAAAACTAGAATTCACCTCCTATCTCATTAACCAGGTATAAACATTGTTAGTATTTGGGGGTATTTCATCTTGTTCACTTTTTGGTCTATAAAATATTAATGAATGTTCTTATTAAAAATTGGTATAGGCTCGGCGCCTGTGGCTCAAGCGGCTAAGGCGCCAGCCACATACACCTAAGGTGGTGGGTTCGAATCCCCAGCCC